TCAATAAGTTCCCTCTGCTTCGATCCTTACGTCCTCTCATCCTTACAAAAGTACCCAGAAGTAATCTGACATTACCCAGTTATTTCCTTACCATCTGTCTCTCCATCCCACCTTACAGGGAAAGTAACTTTGAAACTGTTGCCGAAAGCTTGGTCCTTGTTCCCGATGGCAATCCAATAACAAGGACATGGTTTAGAGAAAAAGGAAAAAGACGATTTATTGCTTAGCTACCAAAGGAGAAACACAGGGGCGTCCTGTCCCAAAGGCTGCGATTCTGCTCATCTGCAGGAACAGGGAGCTTTTATAGAGGTGATTCAGAGAAAATGGGATTAGGGAGGAGAGATCAGGAAGGAGAAGATCAGGGGAAAGAGGAGCAGGGAGAAGTTTAGGGAAAAGAAGATTGGGAAGAAGATTGTAAGTTTCAAAGTCACAAGGGACACAGTCAAAGCATCATGTGAACCTGTTACAAAACGATTTGAAACACTTTCTGTTCTTTGTAAAATCTTCAGCCCTTCTGTCTACAAAACCCATCTCTGCTCCAAGGAGCCCTATTCCCATGGAATGATGCATTGCCCAATTCTAGAACAGCAAATAAGGCCAATTAAGATTGCTAAATTCAATTGTCGTCATTTTGTCCTTGACCGGACGAACAAAACAAAGCTCCCTGACCTCTTGGAGCCAATATTCAGTGTCCACGCGGTGCAAGTCCACATCAGTCCTCCCTGTCTGTGAGACCCTCTTTCTCTTCCCTCTTCTCCCTCCATCAACCACGGGCCATTACCCTGTGTCCCCTTGCCCTACTGTCCCCAATTCTGGATGCCCCCCACCTGCCTTTTCCATCGTCTGGGACAGCGGCACAGAATAGCCATGCCACCTTGCAGGCCAGGCGGGGACGCCACAGACAAGCACCTCCCCTAGGCCCTGCTTCTCTCCGCCACCCCTCCCTCCAATCCAGAGCTCTCCTTCTCATGGCCCCGGCCTCCACTTCCCTTCCTTCTCCTCCACAGACCCGGAGCCCGTCTGGTGCTACAGCCAGCCCTGCTCAGGATCCCAGACCCTTCCTGGCCTGCACAGTGCCCAGCTCCACTCGGTCCACTTTCACACTTGCTCCCTCCTCGTCGTCTCTCTCTTCCTATAGAATCTTCCAGGCCATTTAAATTTGTTCCCGTCTCTCCCATTTTTGAAGCAAAACTGAACAAAACTCCCTCCACATCCGTTCTGTCCCTCCACCTTCTCCTCAGCCCAGCCCTCCAGGGCTGCCTACACGTACAAGTGGCTCCCTTTGACTCCTGTCTGTGGCAGCCTGGCTTCTCCCCAGGGACTCTCACCAAGGCCCCCACTGACCACATGCCACAGCCTTTGTCTCGCATGCCCTGGCCGGCGCTTCGCCTTCCTGTCTCTCTGGACCTTCCAACCCAGCGTCTCTGTCTCCTCCTGTCCTCTTGTCGCCCCCGAGGATGGCTGGGCACCTGATTCTGGTCCTACATTCTCTGCCTCAGCCTCCTCTGCTCCAGGGGCTTCACCTGGTCTCTGATCGATCTGCCAACAACCGTCCACTCAAAGGGCTGTACAATGCGAATCTTGACTCCTCTATTCTCCTTTCCAGGGACAGACAGGGGTGGGACAGCCTGGCCCCTCAGAAGCAGCTCTGGGCTCCTCTTGATTCTCCAGAGTCTGAGGATGTGCAATCCAGCGCCCCGCAGCTGCTGAGTGCCAGGATCAGGGAGAGTGAAGCAGTCAACTGCCACGGTAAACGTGGAGCAGTCGCTGGTACTAGTGAGAGCTAGGAGACAAGAGCTAATGGGGGCATGGTTTTGCCCCAAAGCACTATCCCCGCAAGGCATGCTGGGTGCTGCCACCTGCATGGCAGGTGGCAGTGTGACTGTGTTACTAGTAGAAATCAGGATCGGGTCCATGTTCCACAGAGATGAAGAAGGAACACGGCGATAAGCAAGCAGAAATTTATTGAAGAGGAGGTCAAGGTTCAGACATGTAAGACAGCTCCCAGTGGAGAGCATGGAGGGCAGGAGTGCCACCGGGTCGCCTGACATCCCTTCTTTTAAAGGCCCAGGGTGGAAGTTGACTGGCCTCCTTGTAACCTGTCCTTGAGATTTTAATTGTCATGTGGGTGTGCTCAGGCTGAATTGCGTGGTTGTCTTTTTTTTTTTTTTGTAAGAATGGAGTCTTTTTTCCCTTTTGGGAAACAGATGCTGCTTGACGAGTTGGAGCACATCAAATGGTGAAGCACGGCTCAAACAGTGGTCCTGACAGGGTCCTCCTTATGGGCCTCACCACTTGTCTGCCTGCCGTTTCCCTGCCTCATTGTGACTGTGCTGTCTTTGCAGAGCTTCGGCAGCTCCAGGGCACCACCTAGCACTCACCCTTTCTGCTGCCACACTCCACTTCCCCTCACACAGACTCAGCAAGTAAGCTCACACACCCAGCATGAGGAATACTACACTGCTGTGAAAAATGATGACAGGATCATTTCACACCTGCCTGGGTGGCTAGAATCAGAAGGTCAAATAAGAAGTGTTGGAGAAATCAGAGGCCTCATGTGCTGCTGGTGGGGATGTAAAACGATGCTGCTGCCTGGGAAGAATCGAGCAGCTCCTCATGTGATTACACATGGCTTCCAAGTGACCCACTTCCAAGTGACCCCAGTCATTCCATCCAAGAGGAATGACAATGCACACAGCCTGTGCAGGTGTGCTTATAGCGGCATTATTCATAACAGTCAGAAAGCAAACAACCCAGATGTCCACCAGGTAAGTAAAATGTGGTATATCCATACGATGGAACATTATTCACCCCTAAGAAGGAATAAAGTGCCAATCACAAAAAACCACATATAATATGACCCCATTCATGTGAAAGTCCAGAATAGGAAACCTATAGAGACAGAAAGTAGGTGAGTGGTTGCCTGGGGCTGGGATAGAGGTGCAGGAGTGACAGTGACTATGGTGATGGTTGCACACTTCTATGAATAAAATAAAAATCACTGGATTGTCCACTTTAACTGGGTGAATAGTGCTGTATATAAATTGGATTTCAATAAAGTTGTCAAAAATAATGCCATACTCTATATTGATTGACTCTGAGATGTTTGTGGCCACTTAAGAACTAGTGTCATCACATATAAAGTATGATATGATCCTATTTTTTAAAAGCACACATTTATACATAGGAAGAATATCTGGGGATACATTCCTACCTCCAAATGTTAACAGGTGGTTGCATTATCAATGATTCTTTTAAAAAATTCTCTCCATATTTTCTAAATGTTTAAAAATGAATGTGATGCTTTTATATTAACAATAATATATTAGTCACCTACCTAATTACATATTCATTAACATTATAAGGGGGAAAATGGCAGGAATACTGACTAAAGACAAGTCAATTGCTCAATGCATGCTCTGCATGGAAGGCAAGGGCCATTCTGGCCAGCCCTTCAGTCCCCCGAGTTAAGCACCTGGGGAAATGTACCAAAGCCAGAGGTCTCCCTTGACTCCATGATTGCTCTGTACCCATGGGGCTTACCAGGCTGCTCTCCAAGGATTTGGGGAGAAGGGATGGCAAGGTGGTTAGTCCATCAACAAAGTGAACTCCCCAGCAGCAGCAGCACATCAGAATACCCAGGAACACATTCTCTGAGTGTTTAACCCAGAGCAACTGATAGCTGGGCAGAATGGCCCCTTCTCTTATAAGCAGAGTTTGCATTTAATAGAGAAATTAAATCACTGGAATAGCCTCACTTAGAGATAAGCGAATTTCAAACCTGTGTTTAAATATAGTTTCTGATGGTGAGGCTGGGTCTGCCTAAGTCCATTCAAACTCTTCCACTGTCACTAACCTCCATGGCCTTCATTTATGAGGGCACACTGACACACTCAGCCTAAGATTAGGAGCCCCAACAGCCCTTGAAGGAACCCACAGAAACTGCCCCCAGGTATCCCTCCACAATGCTGAAGGGCATTTTGGTCTGTGCATGGGAGCAGCCACAAGGTCTAGGGCCCCAGGAGGTCCTGGGCTCCTATGGTCCAGGTGCAGATGAGAGGAGGGGCAGGGGAGTGGGGAGACAGGGTGGTTTCAACACGGATGTGGGTAGGCTGGTCTGAGGCAGAGCTAGTTAGCTAAAGGACTGGATGGCCTCTTTTCGCCCTGGGCACAAGCAACACGGAAACGCATACAATGTCCTAAGCTGTGCACCTGAACATAAGTGATGTTACAATGGAAAGAAACATCTGGATTGTTACTGGGAGGGCCTGCGGCCAGGCAGAATGGCACGAGCAAGAGAGATCCAAGTGCGACTTGGCACCTTGGGAGGTGAGAGCCGTGCGGCTCACTGGCCTCGCAGACCGGGATAACCCGGCTACAGGAGGCCGCCCTGATGAAGACCCGCATCCCGGCCCGCGGGTTTGGGGACGGGACGCGTGCCCTGCTTTAGGGCCAGGCTGCCACGTCCGCGCACCGCCCCATCAGCAGCTCGGTTCACCGCGGCGTCTCCCAGCTCGCGCCCAGGTACCCGCAGCTGCTGGCGGGTGCTGAGAAGGAGCGGGCTCCTGGAGGTGTCCACGGGGCGCTCTCGCTCTCGGCACCAGCTGACAGCCGGGCCGCTTTTCCGATTTTGCTGTCAATACGCTCAGCGCTCAGGTCTACGCGAATACGTGCGTGCACAACCTTCGCGCGGGAGCCGGGGCCGGGGCGGCGGAGCCCGCGCTCCCTCCCGCGGGACCGCGCTCCTGCCCGAGCGCGCGAGCCGGACGCGGGTCGCGGTGGCGTGTGCGCACGTCATATGGGCCGCCCGCCTCTCATTGGCTGCGGCCGCCTCACCAGACCCAGTGCGGACGGGCACGCGGGCGGGGCGGGGCCAGGCGAGGCCACGCCCCTGGGCGGTGCGGGCGGGCGGCGGGTAGGCCGGGCTGGGTCACGTGGTGTGGGGCCGTGGCCCGCCTTATAAGCCGCGCGCCCGCCCGGCGCCGCGGCCGCACTTGGGCCGTCCCGGGCGCGCCGCCTCCTCTGCCGCTGCCCCGCCTCCTCTTGCCGCTCGCGGGTCCTGGCGGGTGCCCCTCGCAGGTACGCGAGCGCGGGGCCGGGGGCACCGGGGCCGGGGCGGGCCGGCTCTGCGCGGGACGCCGGCGGGGCGGGGCCGGGCGGGGGGCCGCGGCCGGCCTTTGTCTCCCCGACGCGAGCGCCGCGGTGACTTCTGCGCGTCCTTCCTGCAGGAGCCCTCCGCGCGGCGGGCACCGATGCCCAGGCTGCACGACCACTTCTGGAGCTGCCCCTGTGCCGGCGCCGCGAGGCGCCCGAGCCTCCAGAGAGCCCGCGCCGCGAAGCCGGTGGCCGAGCTCGGAGACATGAGCGCCCCCGTGGCCCAGGCCGCGGGCGCAGACCCCTCGCCTAGGGGCCCGCGGGCCGGGGCGAGCGGCCGCGCCAACAGCTGGCACCATGACCTGGTGCAAAGGAGCCTCGTGCTCTTCTCGGTCGGGGTCGTGCTGGCCCTGGTGCTCAACCTGCTGCAGATCCAGAGGAATGTCACGCTCTTCCCCGACGAAGTCATCGCCACCATCTTCTCCTCCGCCTGGTGGGTGCCCCCGTGTTGCGGGACGGCGGCGGGTGAGTGCCCTTCTTGTTCTTGTGGGGCAGAACTGGAGATGTCCCTTCTGTCAGAGTCGCTTTGGGCCATAAGGAACGTGTATTTGAAAATGGAACCACCCACAGATAAAAACTGGGCATCCCGTGTTGTGTTTAGGGAAAGGAAAGGGACCGGACAGAGTAGGGAGTCCCCGGTGCTGGCCAGGATAACAGCTCTGAAGTTTGAGGAACCAGTGATGGAGATGAGGTCAGGAGATAATTGGCTGTTTGAGCAAACGCTGGCCCGGATAGAGGAGTCCCAGCCCTGTAGTGTCCAGGCTAACCGGGAGCAGCTGTCACCCAGAGCTACCGCCGCAGGATTGGCCGCCTGGAGAACTGGTGAGGCAGTGCTGCCAGGCTATTGGCTGTCCCAGCAAACATGCTACCCTGCTGGACAACTGAAAACAAACCCTCACGTGCTCAGGAGGCAGTTGCCAAGGGAGCAGCTTCCCAGCACTTCCTTCTGCAGATGGCTCTGTGCCTGGCCTGGAGCCAAGGCACCACCCATAACACCCCCTCCCACCAAGGGCACAAGAGAGGCCCTCCTTGAGAGTTTAGATTTGAGCACACTAACTTGTCACAGAGACATTTTGGAACCCAACATGGGCCAGTTAGTGTGAACTGCCATTTTTGTTTTGTTTTTTAGAAAAATTTCTTAGTTATCATTTAGCAAGTTTGTAAAATGGTGAATGATTGTGGCCCAGCCAGTCATTTAACATTCCTCTAGTCATGGAGCATCTGTTTATTGAAGACACTTGCAGATGCTTTCTGCAGCCTCACTCTGCAAGCTGTTGAACTATGAAAGTGAGCAGAGCCAGCCCTGTCCTGAGGCGGTGGGGAAAACAAACTCGCTCTGAGTAACTCAGAACAGCGGGAACAGCATCGTGGGTGCTTTGTAGCTGACTTTTATTGACCGCTTCCTTAGGCTTTATAAGCTATGGCTCCATTTTACAGACGGGGAAGCTGAGTCACAGTTAAGTATAATGTCCAGTGTACTGGCTGCCACAGCTATTAATCCGTCTGCTCCGAAGGCTCAGTACAGGGGCAAAAGACTTGTTGTGGAGCTGTTTGTTTCAGCAAGGCAGGATACTGCCAAGTTTTCATCTGTGTTTCAGAAAGGTGGGGTCCTGCTGTTCTCTAAACCTTTAAGGGATGGCTATACTAATTGAAAGTCCTTTTTGAAGAATTCCATGTTCCATATACATTTGACTAGTAGTTTCTTTGAACCAAAAGCTTGATCTTCAAAATGAAATTTGAATTTGCAATTGAATCTTCATGAGTTCCAGGAGTATCTGAAATGGTTTCTCATGCTCTTATCTGAATGTTTAGTTGAACCTACATCTCTTCACTGTGGAAGAACCTAAAAGCCTGAGATTTTCATGACAAGGGAAATGACAGCCTGTCTCCTGAGTTCGCATGCTTTGTCCCACAGTGCTACCCTGGCAGACCCATGTCCCGGGTGGACTGGGAGTTTGTTCATCCCCCTCCTTTGTTTGTGCGTGCTGCTTCTCTTCTGGGATGCCAAACCTTCCCATTGTCCAGGAGCTAAGACCCCAAGCTCAGGGATCTCTTCCTGCTCTGCCCTCCAGTTACATAATCATCAGCATTTCACACATGAGAAAACAAACACCAGGAGCCACGTCCATCCAAGGCCAGCTGGGACTAGCAGCTGAGTTTCCTCTTTATGGGCCTGTACTTTCCACAGCTTGGGACTTAGGCCCATGGCAGCCAAAGAAACCAGAGTGTGATGGCGTTACGTGCACAGTAGCCTCAGTCTCCTAGAGTAACTGCAAGAGCCCCTTAAAACTTGAGTCCACTGTCCCTCCATGGGCATGGGACCCAGCTCCAGCGCTGGGTGGCAGCAGGAGTGTCAAACTGTGATGTGACTTGGGGCCACAAGTGTTCACAGATGCTCACCTCTCCATTGTAAAACGGAGGTGGTATGTGGCCATTTCAGTTTTGTGCTTGAGGCAAACTGAATATTAGATACTGCAAGATTAAATATTATTAATGTGGATGATTTAATCCTCTGCTTTTGATTCATTTCTAGGTTTATTGGGACGTGTTTAAAAAGCAGTGGTTTTTCTTTTTAACTTTTCAAAATCATGATTTGGATGGAAAGTACTGTAAACTAAATATTATGTTATACCTGATAAACTTCTAGAAACAGGCCTGGTCTGAGTGTTCCTGTTGACCATGGGGAAGCTGCAGTTTTCAGCTGGTGTGTTCTTCCTTTCCACAGCGGTTGTCGGCTTGCTCTACCCGTGTATTGACAGTCACCTTGGGGAGCCCCACAAGTTCAAGAGGGAGTGGGCGAGCGTCATGCGCTGCATTGCCGTCTTCGTTGGCATCAACCATGCCAGCGCCGTATCCTTTTACCCACGTGCTGTGTCTAGAGCATGGTCTGGGGCTGTGTCAAAGCACATCAGGACTTTTATTGAGTATGTAGTATTCATTATCTCATCCAAGTATTTTATTTTAAACTATATTACATAGTTTTCACCTAGTGGGACTTTTAAGGTGCAAGTTCTAGCATCCTTTATAGATCATTTCAGGAAACAGTTGACATAGTACCAGAAGCAGGGTGGATTGCCAGATGTGGAGGCCACACCTGTAATACCAGTGGCTTGGGAGGCTGAGGCAGGAGAATTGTAGGTTCGAAGCAAGCCTCAGCAACTTAGTGAGACCTGTCTCAAAATAAAAAATAAAAAGGGCTGGAGATGTGTCTTAGTGGCTAAGCGCCTTTGAGTTCAGTCCTTAGTAATCCATCGCCCTGCAAAAAGAAGTAAGAGGTCCTCTCTTTCTCAGCAGTTATCATTTAGCTCCTGGGAGTTCGTTTTATCGATTCACTTTATGTGTCTCCCTCGTGTCCTTCCAGCAGATGTGATGGTTCTCCTGGCAAAGAGGACTGCCCCAGGGTGTGGCTGTTGGTACCACATCTCACTAGGAGGTGTCTGAATTTGCCCCTCTGCCCACAGAAGGCCAAGGACAGTTGTGGAAGGCCCCTGGCCTCTGGCACCCACGGGTGTGCTGTGTGCCATGTGCCGTGCATTTCTCAGGAAGGCAGTCCAGAGTTTGCCAGGGAGCCCTTAGGATTTAGGGTTTCTTTAGAGCAAGTTGGAGGGAATGATTTTTAGTGTTGCAGATCCTGAAGTCTGTTTTCCCCCTATTTAATGGTATATAAGAGAGTCCTGGTAAATCAGTTGACAAGCACAGCTGTAGCAGACTGGAGCCTGTTGAGCTGGGTGCCATACTGACTACGTGTCTGCTGTGGACGTAAAGGCCCGGCCTGTTCACTTCAGACTGCTGAGAGGGAGAGAAGGGGAACTGTAGATGGCTTCATAGCAAAGTGTTGGCTGGTGGCCAAAATACCACCAGAATTTCATGCATGGCTTTCAGAAAGTTCAGAGAGAGAGTGTGTGTGTGTGTGTGTGTGTAGGGGGCGGGGCAGTGCTGGGATGAAACCCAGGGCCTTGAACACGCTAGCCATGCCCTCTACCTCTGAGCCACATTCCCTGCCCAAGAAAGCTCCTTCTTAAAGCTAGGCTTTGCCTGGTGGTCCCGTGAAGATCTAGGGTCTGCTGGCCATGTGGTTGTCATGGATGGGGAAGATTTATTGGATAATAAATTTATTGGATATTGCACATAGCTCCTATGGTTTTTGATCTTATGGAAAAGTCATTAAACTTTTCCTTAACTTTGCTATCACCAGAAGTTGGATTTTGCCAATAACGTCCAGCTGTCTCTGACCTTGGCAGCTCTGTCCCTGGGCCTCTGGTGGACATTTGACCGTTCCAGAAGTGGCCTGGGACTTGGGATCACTATAGCCTTCCTAGCGACTCTGATCACCCAGCTTCTCGTGTACAATGGAGTCTACCAGTAAGTACGTGTCTTCAAGCTACTTGTGTGGACAGAAGGACCCATTATATTTAGGTATTTTCTTGTTTTATTTGGCTTTTGTGCTAAATTACAGATTTGGGTTTGAAATTCTCAAAACGCTGCTTACTCTCAACTCACATACTAAAAGCACACTGTCCGTACTTCCCGTAAGGAAAACTGAGTCGGGGCAGTGAGGCGCGTCATTCCAGTGTTGGCAGTTGGCAGCATTTTTGGCATCTAGTATCCTCTATCACAGAAGATCTTTGGCCCGGAAGTAGGCGGGTGAGACTGACTGGACGTTTTTCCTTCCAGGTACACATCCCCAGATTTCCTCTACATCCGCTCCTGGCTCCCGTGTATATTTTTCTCAGGAGGCGTCACAGTGGGAAACATAGGACGGCAGCTGGCCATGGTAAGTCTCCCACACTGGACACTGCCAAGTCTTAGCTGGTAGAGTTGCTGTATGTGGTACATTGTAGTTTGTGCTGATGTGTGTCTAGTTCAGAATCAGTAACAACAATTATGGAGAAAAGATTATGAAAGCGGGAATGATACTTGGGTACTTCTTTACCAAATTATAAGGTTTCTGTATTTTTCGACTCATAATGTCTGTGCTAGAAAGAAACCGTTGAGTCCTAGTGCAGCCCTTCGCCTTACACGGGTGCCTCCCCTCAGCTGTGGACTGACTCCACCTCAGACTGGGCCAGTGTGCAGACCAGGGGACAGCCTGGATAGGCGGGCATTGCCCTTCCAGGGGACCTGTGGACTTGGGCCTGCCTGGGATGGCGTCACTCGGAGCAGGATGCTCATCGCGTGATTGCCCTCTGGGCGGGCTGTCCACCTGCTCTCCAGGAAGAGGAGGAAGTGCCGCTCAGAGCATTTCCCGAGAGTTGGAAAGGCACGAGAAACCGGGACGATTAGTGGTTACCTTCAGGAGGTAAAAACTGGCATTTGAACACTTCAATTAAAGCAAATGGGGACATTTAAATGTTGTTTCAAGATTACTTTGACTCAAGGGTTTAAGTAAAGTGAACTAAAAAAAGCAACTAGAACCATTGTTCTCAGAGATAAACTCTGGCTTTCTCAAAACTTATCTTGGTGCTTTATGCTGTTTTTGGAATGGTACGTTTATTTATATGAGCTGATGGCCATCCGTGAGGAGCTGAACTTGAAGGCTACTTTGTTATTTAACAAAAATAGAAATTGGTTTAAAAACAATAGAATTTGGAGTGTTCTACTGGCTTCTGAATCTAAAACGTCTCTCTTCTGGTCTGGTTGTTCTCCACTTAGCTGCCAAAACAGAAAGCACTCCATGGAGAAAGCTGTTTCTCACGACCCTTCATGGAGAGTCAGGACTCTGCCTCAGTGGATGCACATAGCCAGCCCCTTCCTTCACCTTCAGCACCTGCCCCTGACACCGCCTCTTAGTTCTGAGAGCAGCTGGGCCACTTGTAACTGCTGGTGTTTGGAGATTCTTATTTTAGTAGTCTTGGACAGAGAATTCCTGGGAAGACTTTTGGAATAAGACAGCCAAGCTGACCAGCAGCTGAACAGTAGTCACAGAGTTGGCTGCTGCTTCAGGAAGATGCCCTGGTGCCATATCTGATTTTGAAGGCTTTGAGTCAGTTCTAGGAAATAAGCACTCGGGTAGAGTAGAAGTTTCATAGTATATACATGTCCTAAACATCTAGAAATTGAGGAAACATTTTAAAAGAGTTGCATAAATGCAAACTTTTGAAGATGGTCCTACTGAATGACTCTTGCAGTGAGCCTGCTGTGTGTTTCTTGGTCTCTAAAAACGCCTTCCTGTTCTTACTGGGGTCCCCTCCTTTAAGAGCATTTGCTACCTACAAGGACGCCTTGCCCAGCAGCTCTCAAGCCCTGTGCTCTCCAACGGGCTAGAAGTTTCTTCTATGTGGTATTTTTTGTTATTTTCCCTACAAGCCATTTTCCTTTGGGTCCAAAAATATAGCTCAAGCGTTCGTCCTCAGCCCATGTGTTTAAAAGAAAGTGAGAGTGTTCAGCACTCAGCATCTGTGCTTGCTGTTTGTACTTTGTTTTTTTCTCAAGAATGAGGCTTCAAACTGCTGCCTGTTGGCCACCTACCCCCATCCAGATTGCCTTTCCTGTCCCTGGTTCCTGTTCACCCAGCTCCCGCCACTCAGGATGAGAGCTGTGTGGTTGCCCTTGAGGCTCACATTTGCTGCTGTGTGAGATGCCAGGCTGTGCACTTTCCTTGTTAGCTAATTGAGCCCATGTTACTCAGTACTTTAAAGCAGAAATTTTTATCTGCCACAGTCCGGCTGCAGCAAAATAACCTGGGGGTGACGAACAACTTGTGTACATTGATACAGCAGGAGTGGGGTATATATGCATTACACACAGCTTATCTTAATTAACATAAACTAGATACAGCAGTCAACCAATAAGGAATCTCCACACTTAATGGCTCGCTGGCGTTACTTCACAAACCACTCCCTTTGCAAAATGCCAGGTGCCATCTTGACTTGTTTACAGACTCTAACATTTATTAGCCCATTATAAATGGGGAGCTTTTCACCCATATGGGTGGATTTGAGCCACACTTCTCATAGGATACCAAATGCCCTTTTAACCTATAGCTCATGACTGTCACTCATCCTCCAAATAAGTTTTAAAAATCTCTTGGTAGCCTAGACACTATGTTGCCATTTAAAACACATTACATTAGGCAGTGCTGATGAAGGTCAAGTCATGATCTGTCTGGCCACCTGCTGTCTTCTCCATAGTCACCTGTGTTCTTACACTAGGGCCAGACCTAACTTTGGTCTCCTGTAGACCATGGATTCTGAATCGTTCCCTGTTGTTTATCAGTCAGTGCATTGGCAGGTGGTGAAATGTGACAGCAGTATTATTTCTAGGTTACTGGCAAGAACTTGTCCTTTCTTTTCTCTCAGTTGAAGTTTGTTCAGAACCTCCCTCATGTCCCTGTTCATAGTATCTTCTTCAAGTCACCATTGGGTAAAAGTCAGGAGCTCCCTAGAGCTTACACATCATTGCCATGCCAAAGCCACCAAGGGGGCATTTCCAAGACTCTGTTTCTGACTTATCTCTTCTATGAGGCAGCCTCAGAGTTTTCTGGCTGAGAATCCTAATATCTGGTACCTTGCTCTCGAAGCAGGTTGCCTGGGTGGAGGGGGAGGGAGCGGGGTGGAGGGCACTGGATGCAGAGAGAGGCAGTGTGCCGAGCCTCCTCTGTCCTCTGAGCAGCTCTCTGGCCTCAGGAGAATTTTTAGGTCTCTCTGGATCTGCTTATCAACCAGACGTGGTCCTGTACTGAGGTTTTACATTTTGCCTGCAATGATGATGATCCAGGGGTCTGGTGAGGGTCACGTGAGAAAGGATGGGGAGATGTCATTTGGTGTTCCAAAACCTGACCTGTCCCAGATGTTTGTACTGACAGACCGCCAGCAGGCAGGGCATGCTGGGCATCAGATGCTGGCAGACTGCAGCCTCAAGTGAGCAGGCTGACCTGAAAGGGACAGTCCTTAGCCCCACTTTGGGAGCACCTGTTGCCAAGAGCATCGCCATGCTTCCGCGGTGCTGAGTACACTGGTGAGGCCCTGCTCCTCTTGGTGTCTCACACTCCTACAGCCTCCCGGGAGGGCTCTGGCAGCTCACCCACCTGCAAGGTGGAGCCAGACTGAGTGCAGGTAGCAGGTGGGCACAGGTGGCTGTGGCTGGCAGGTCAAAGGAATTTTTACCTTTCACCTTTTAGGGCCTAAGTAGGATATTTACTCACAGGTTATTTACACACAACACTCAATTTTCTTTTTTTCTTTCTTTTTCCACATAGGGTGTTCCTGAAAAGCCACATAGTGATTGAGCCTTCAAACCCACTGATTCCGAAAAATAAGCAAGATTTGGAAAGAAGACTGTTTTAGTGGGTTGTGATGAAGATTTTTTTTTCCTAAATACTCTATTTAGATTGGGCTGAGGACAAATGACTCCTGGAAGAAATGTTCACCTAGTCTAGCATAGCAAAGTGGAGACAGTAACTACTTACCTTGAAGTCTTACCTTGACCCACCACACCCACACCTGTCTGCTCTGGAACATCCATGGCAGACTGTGGGCGGGAGTCCAGGCAGGGGCATTGTCCCAAGTATTAGATATCATTCATGTTTTAAAAAACAGTTGCCATATTTCAAAGCCTTGAACTACAACTTGATTACCAACTGTCAGTTTTGTATCCATGCCCAAAGGAAACAGGTTGATGGTGCTTGACAGATGAAGTATGGTGTAATAGGAATATTTATCCAAAAGATTTTAAAAATAGGGTTGTGTAAAAAAAAAAAAAAAGCAGCATGTGTAGGGAGGTGGCTGCCCGAGTGGCTGGCACTGGTGGCACCTGGCCTGGCTCACGTTCAGTGCCGCAGTGACCCACCATGCAGTCACACACCTCTGCCTGTCACCAGAGAGCGGACTGCGCTTTTCATTCTGCCGGCAGAATCCTGTGTAGACAATCTTCCCGAGAGCAATGGCAGTAAGAGGTCCTGATTCCACTGTGATGTGGGAGGTTTCACCTCAGCTCACCAAGTTTTATCCAAAAACCAGAATCCTCTAAGAGTGAATACCCGTCTGCCACGTATTTCAATCTTAGCCAAAATTGTTTGCGTCTTTGTTACTCCAGAGTAGCGAGAACTGTTTTTCTGCAGCCCTATGGAACTTGCAATCTGTGATTGCCTTGTAGAAGAGCACGTCACCGCACTGCACGCGTGGTGTTCTGAATGCTGGGTGACGGCTGGGAGCACACTGTATTCGTGTAATGGCATAGACCATATCAGACCTGATTTGCAAGTATTGGGTCTCAAACTTCAAGTGCAATGTATATGAAAACCAATCTGAGCCTTGTATCCTCTTAAATATTTATTTTTTTTTAACGTGGGATGTTCGAGAGAAGGGTTCTCCATGCATTTCAGTGCGCACCGCGGCCGAGCTCAGCAGCGCTTCCCGGCGTGAAGTCTCTTCACTAGACCCTTCACTGAGCCCTCGTCCTCTGACATACTCCGGTTTTGTGGGTTTAGTAATTTTTACTTACCAATTTACCTTTTTTGTATTTTGCAACCTAAGTGTTTGATTTGTTTGAGTTCTGTGGTAGTGAGTGGCTGCAAGACCCCTTTAGAAGAGAAGCCACAGCAGGAGGGGCGTGGGCTCACGGCCCAGGATAGGCACGCTTGGTTTCATTCATGTGCTGATCCTCATGGGCTCCTTCTGTTTATTTTGTTTTGAGGAAAATGTCTTGGAGTAAATTCTAGGTTTCTGAAGCTAATTTGTTTTAGAGGAATTTTGTTTAAAAGCAAATGGACCATTCTGAACTTTGGAATGATCCCTTATACATTTTATGAAATTGAAAACAAATGATTAGTTATATGAAAACATTTTTCAATGAAGTTGTCAGCATTTTATGCAAACCAGAGTTACTAGATGAAAGCAGTAAGTGAATCTTTGAAATATACTTGATCATGTATAAACAATAAGTATTTTTTCTCTTCAACTGGAAATAAATCTCTTAGAAATGATGTAGCCAAAAAATGTGAATCTGAAGAATTTTTTTGCCAATAGTTTATAGCAGATATATTGAACCAAAGTGATTTGAATTTGTAAAAATGTAAAATAGTATGAACACAACTTGCACTATGCCATATTTGAACATCTAGTGAGATTCACATTCATACTGTTTTCAACATTGTGTTCCTTTTGCATTCATTTTTTACTTTTATTAAAGGTTCAAAACCAACTATTGTATTTATGGGTTCTTTTTTTTTTAAAAAAAAAGGGGGATTCATGTCTTGTCTAGGTGTCAGAATTTGAGATGGAAGGCTCTTTTATCGACTTTAAACTTTATGGAATCCCAGCATAACCTGTGGGTGTGCTTCTGAACCCACCGCAGTCCCCTCTCCACTGGTGCCCCCTCTCATCTGGGGATTAGAAGTGGGTGGCCTGACACAAGGGCACTTGCCCTGACTCGGGGCTCCTTGCTCCTGGTGGCTTGCTCTTGGATTAGGTCAGGTGGGATCTCTGCAGCTACAAATCTTTCCAGAAAAGCAACTGTGTAGCCTCCCAGAACATTTGCACAACCTCCTGGGGATGGAGCCCAGGCTTTGTGCCTGCTAGGCCAGCAGGACCCTTGAGCCACACCTAGCTCTGCTCTACACATGCAAGACAGCTGGTCCAGGTGATGCTGCACACGTTTCCCTCTCTACCTCTGTAGACTCCACCTTTTTGCCTGAGAGGAATCTAGTCCTAAGTACAGTGACTCCAACAGAGAAGGCCCACTTTGACACATCTGAACCCGTGTTTTAGAAGTTAAAAGTTTCCTGAAACTTTTCTGGTCTTTGAGCAAATAATTAAATTATGGAAAGTGAGGCACATGGTCCCCAAGGGACTCTGTTTTGCTCCTCATGTTGTATGAGCAAAAGCTGGGTCACTAGGCTCATGGTTGGCTGATGGGTGGCTTTACTTAGCCAGCATTCAAAGGCACCATGTCACACGTAAGGACTTGGAAGACTCCACTGAGTCTAATCAAATCATTGCATGGCCTGCATCGTCCCCACTCTTGAATTATTGGTTGCCTGTATCTTAGTAGAAATGATACAAGAGAGAGGTACCATTTAAAATTTAAACTTGCCTTTTCTCCTTCACGTTGAAGTAGACAACCTGCCCATTTCCTTAGTCTCAGATCCTCTGCAATGAGTTAACTATATAGCAGATAAAGTCTAAAATAGGTTAGTATTGTAAAATCTCAATGAAATACTGCAGTCTGGCCTCAGCAGATGTGCATTGAGAAGCTGGCTGTGCTGAGCTAATTCACCACTGTGCTTGAACTTGGAGGGAGGTGGGCTTGTAACCAGGGAGTCGGCCACCAGAGAGGCTCTGGACCCCCAAATGGAGAGAAATATATGCAAAGAAAGATAAGAAAAGCCGGGGGTGAGAAATCTTGAGTCCTGACACTTGAACTCAGTGCTCCATGGATTTTCTCTGTAAATCTTCGTAAGATTCACACCAGAATTTCTTAACATTTATAAAAACACCTACTAGTACCTGGCACAAGAGAAACTGTTAGTTTTTTTCTTACCCTGAAATAATGCCATTTGATGGCCTTTCCCACCTTAGATCTGTGGTAGTGGAAAGGAAAAGGTGCAGGATGTGACAAGTAGCTTCTCATTGCCACTTTTGCTTCCTAGAGTTTCTGGGTGCCATGACCCCTTCCTCCCACCTATCTCTACAGTTTTTGTTGGGTCCCAGGCTCTGCACATCCCCAAGTTCAGGAACATAAAGATGAAAATTCCACATCACGTCTGGAGGAGTGGTTTTCTAGCTCTGCACATTTTCCTGTCTTGGCAAGTTTTTCACTGAGAGTTGTTTCTTCCCACACCCCTGGAACTCCACCAGACGACCATCCCTCACTCTGCTGTCACACAGAATCTCCCATAGCCTCCTTGGGCTGCAGATTTGTAACCATCTCTCACCAATGTCCCCAGCACTCTGCAACCTGGCAAGGGAGGTGGTGGCACCTTTTCTTATCCTGTTCTGGTGCCCAGACAGAGCCCGGCCCTAATCCGTACTAAGACTCTTGAAGGAATATTGCGTAAATGATGTCATTTACTCCTTCATCTGTTTCCCAGAGGCAGGCACGCTGGCTGGCTGCTGTCACATTTCACTGCCAGCAGCCCACTAGTCACCTTCCGCCCTGTGGACTCCAGGCCACTGCGGATAAGACTAAATCATCCACATCACTTAGGAGAGGCCCACAGAGAGCTCTGCAGGCCCCTCCAGGTCGGAGCTGCGTCTCAGCAGGGGCATTGCTCCCCCTGCCTGGACTGCCCTGTCATTGCATGGGCTCTGTCCATGTGAGTGGGCACTGCAGCATGTGGGACTGCTCTCCCCAGGAATGGAGCTACATTGGCTTTAGGCCGTCCACAGCTTCCGGCCTCGCTGCCCCCGGGCACAGTGCCTGCCAGGCTGGCAGCTCTGGTGCCACAGCCCCAGGAGCAGTGGATGCTTGGGCAGCGCTGGGTGCTGACTGCATGAACATCCTTGGAGGCTTCTGCCTGCCCCCCTGCCCTTCCCACATGGACACTCAGCCTTGAACTTTCATCTTTTGGAGGAAAACATGGCTCCCTTCAACATGTGATACCTTGTTGCTTTCAGACATGCCCTGATTTTCTTTCATACCCAGAGAGCCGTCCCCCATGCCAGTTGGTATAGCTGGTGTCCCTTTCTCCTGATTCCACATCAGTCACATTAGTTGCAAAGCCCCGACCAGGGTAGGGTGAATGTGAGCAGAGCAGCTGCAAGCAAAGTTTGCAGGTGGAGATGGCACTGGGGAGGCGGCCCTGGAGCAGCTTGGTTCCTGGTGAGTCACTCCCTGCACTTGGCTGTGCCATGGGGGAGAGGCGGCGGGTCCCCTTGAGCTGAGGCTATGCTCATTCATGTCCTTCTGGAACATCTGACCGGCTGCAGGAGCCAACTGAAGAAAGGTCAGCTTGCCCACAGATCATCTGAAGGAGCAATCACACAGTCCCACATGCCCAGCAGGAGGGTCCCCTTGTATTGCCTCCTGCCACGAGCAGAAACAGGTGTTGAGTCCTTAGGAAGCTGGGTGCCTGGAAGCCCTTCCCTAAGGGTTCTCATATGTGAGACTTGGCATTGCTTAAGGTGTGTGCAGTTATTCAATTGCTCATTGGGAAGCATGTCACCGAAGGCTCCCTGTGTGCCAGAGCCATGCTGTGTGCTGGGTGCCCGGGTAGGACCTGGTAGGAATCCACCTGGTCACCAGGGAGATGCAGGTGTGTGTCTGGAGACTTCAGGCTCTCCTGGGGCACTGTTTCTGAGCATCTTAGTAACCCCAACCTTCCCCATATTCGATATTTAAAAGAAAGGCATGAACAAAGCAAGGAAGGAATACAATGAAGGAAGGGAGGGAGGGGCGGAGGGAGGGGCTGAGTCCGCTGTCCAGGACTCAGAGGCTGGGCATTATCAAAACCGTTTTTAACATAAAGTAGCCACAGTCTCAAACCCAGTACCCGACAAGATTTGGCTGTTGGTTAAGAGCATGGAGAAGCCTGAGGCCCTCGGATGGTGCAGCTGGTCGGGGAAGCTCCCTGCCACACGGTGCTGGCCTCCAGGCTGGCCTCCAGCTTCTCTCCTCAGTGCAGGTCCCTTGTCTGGGGACCTTGATCTTCACCCTATGTACGGGTTAAATTCTGTGTCTCAGAATGTCACCTTATTTCATAGGGCATCGAGGCCATCTGGGCCCATCTGCTTCCAGGAGAGCAGGCAGAGCAGTGCTGGGCCATGTGGTGACTCTGCGCAGGTGGCACTCCAGAGCAGCCCAGCAGACAGGGTGACTCTGCCTGGGCTCTTGGACCCCCAGCAGCAGCAGGCTCCCCGGGAGGTATGTCCTGGGGTGACTGTGGGTCGTGTCACTTCCCCACCCCAAAGCTGCCACAGAAACAGTGAGTCCCCAGCTCGGAGCTTCAGCAGGTCCAGAAAGGGCAGGAGGAGCCAGGTGTGGGTGCTGAGCAGGCCTGCACAGGACATTCAGCCACCAGTCAGGCGGCCTGAGGGACAGTGAATTTGAGCCGGAGGTGTGGAAGAGTGTCCACCACAGACCAAGGACCTCTCTTCTCGCGCAACAGCGCTATACAGCCAGCCACATGCTGTTGTACAGGCCAGAGTTTAAACCGTGTTACCCACCTGCGATCCAGAGGCCCGTCGCTGGGATCCAGCAAGCCAGGTCCGGGTCCCGGCCCCCAAAACCAGTCAGCAAAGGCCAGAGTGAGAAGCCTGGAGAAGCTTTGATCAGCACAGCTGCACAGGAAGACATGGGGACAACAGCCTCAGCCCATCTTCAGGGGCCAACAATGACTTTCGGCCTTATAGGAAGGGGGATGAGGGCAAGGGCTGAGGGTTTGCTTGCAGAGAGCTTTTCACAGCTGCCTAAGCAGGAGCCCTGGACCAGCTGAGGTCTGCCCGTCACTCTCCAGGGCGGTCAGGCCTTGTCTCCCTAGGAAGGCGGGAGTTTCAGCCCAGCACCAGGTATTTCTCCACCAGACCTGGAATCCAAGGGGTGGCTCCAAGCCAAGGAGACCCCAAGTCTTCAATCCTGTTTTTAGCCACACATTAGGCAACAGTGGGGACTCTCAGCTCTTGCTCCACTTGGATGTCCCTGTGAGATGTTCAAGGGGCTACCCCTGCTCACTGTGGTAAGCAGTGTCAAGGCCAACACTTGTCCACACGTTCTCTGAATTCAGAATGTCGGCAGGTCCACTGTAGGCTCACGTGTATGTAACTCGTTTTGAACAGGTGCTGTGAACCCCCCTCTTGAGGGTGTCAAAAGCAAGGCCACACTCCTCGGCACCAGGAAAACTTCCACAGTTACACCCTCCAGCCACAGAGGGTGTTACCTCCACAGATGAATTAGAATCATCCTGACTCACTCTCAGCGATGGCCAGGGGTGTTTTGGGTCAAACGAGCATCATCATCTCGGGTCCTTGCCTTGAAAGCCCTGAGGGTCTAGTCCCCAAGAGCTGAGACGGAGCTGGATCCAGGCTGCTGTGGCTTGGACGACACCATTCTACCTCACACCAAAGCCACCTCTCCTCTGGGGTGCCAGCGCCAGGCTTCACATGTCCAGGGTGCCAGGGAGCTTGGCTCTCGCCCAGGGGAGTAGACGGCCAGACCCAAGTGAAGCAAACCCATCCCAGCCATTAGGGAACCAACTCAAGATCTTG